ATATTGAAAGTACCATGGACTGCCTAAAGAACAAACAAATCAATCTTGGAAGAAGTAGTGCAAGAGTACTCCCAAGAGGCACAGATGGCAAGACTTTGTTTTACATGCTTTGAGCATGTTGTCAGGAGAAACCAGTTCCTGTAGAAGAAGGAAATTATGCTTGGTAAAGTAGAGGGTTAGCAAAAAAGTGGAAGGAAAGCCTTCAATGAGGTGGATTGACACAGCGGTTGCAACAGTGGGCTCAAGCATAGGAACAATTGTGAGGATGGTGCAGGACCTGGACAGTATTTTGCTATACTGTGCATAAGGTTGGAACCGAGTCAGTGACACCTAACATCAATAACTTAATTTTCACTGACCCTCTAGTTTACCTAACATGATCTCCTTTGCCAGGGACTGGCCCAAAGTACAGGAAGTGAAGTCTTGCTATCCTTTCTCCTAAGGACCATTTTGGCTGTACGTCTTCCAAGACAGATTTGTTTGTTCTTTTGGCAGTCATCCTACTTTTAATATTCCTTGCCATTACCTTAATTTGAGTGCATCAAATCTTCAGTCTTCTTTATTCGTTGTCTGGCTTTCACATGCATATGAAATGGTGGAAAATATCATGGTTGGGTCAGGTGTACCTTGACCTCATAGTGATATCTTTTTCCAACACTTTAAAGAAGGCTTGTGCAGCAGATTTTCCCAGAGCGATACATCATTTATTTAATTTCTTGACTGCTCTTTCTGTGGATATTGGTTGTGTATCCAAGTAAAATGAAGTCTATGAAAACTTCACTCTTCTCTGTTTATCATGATGTTGCTTTTTGGTCCAGTTGTGAGGATTTTTGTTTTCTTTTTGTTGAGATATACTCCATATTGAAGGTTGTAGTGTTAGATCTTCATCAGTACAAAAATGTTCCAAGTCCTCTTTACTTTCAGTAAGCATGGTTGTTATCTTCAAATGTGAATGAGCACTCTTCTTGATGCTGCATTCTTCTTCATAGAATTCCGCTTCTTGGATTACTTCCTCAGCAATACAGAGTGTTAATAGTGTAGAGAGGGGTCATATGACTGCTTTTTTCTTAAAGGAATGAGTTTAAGCCTACTGCTTATCTGTAATTTTCTAGTGGTCTAGAGTAACTATATCAAATGGAAGAAATCATGAGGTCCAAGAGCTGAATAGAAATGTTCAATGGGCAGCTTGAGAAGACAAGTAAAATATTATTATGAAATGTGCAAAGACCTAGAGTTAGAAAATAAAAAAGGATGAACGTGCTCAGCATATCCTAAACTGAAAGAACTGAAGAAAAAAACCCAAATCTTAAGTTCAATATTGGAAGATTCTTTGGGCAGAATATTAAATGATACAGGAAGCATCAAAAGAAGTTGGAAAGAATATATGAGTGACTGTACCAAAAATAACTAGGTGACATTCCACCATTTCAGGAGGTAGCATATGAACAAGAACCCATGGTGCTGAAGGTAGAAGTTCAAGCTGCACAGATAGCATTAGCCAGAAACAAGGCTTCAGGGATTGGTTGAATACCAATTGGAATGTTTGAACAAGCAGATGAAGCTCTGGAATACTCACTCATCTACCAGGAAATTTGGAAGACAGCTACTTGGCCAACTGACTGGAAGAAATCCATATTTGTACCCATTGCCAAGAAAAGTGAAAAAGCAGAATGCTCAAGTAATAGAGCAATATAATTGGTATCACCTTCAAGTAAATTTTTGCTGAACACGATCCAACAATGGTTGAAGCAATATATTGACATGGTGCTGCCAGAATTTCAGCCCAGAGTCAGGAAAGGATATAGAACAAAGGCTATCATTGCTGATGTCAGGTGGACCTTGGCTCAAAGCAGAGTCTACCAGAAAGATGTTTACTTCTATTTTATTGACTATGCCAAGACATTAGACTATGGATAATCTTGAGAAGAATGAGAATTCTAGAACACTTGATTGTACTCATGCTGAATTTATACCTGGATCAAGAGGCAGTTGTGTGAACAGAACAAGGGAATACTACATGGTTTAAAATCAGGAAAGGTGTACATCAGGATTATGTCATCTCACTATACTTAATCAATTTGTATGCTGAGCAAATCACCAGAGAAGTTGGATCATACAAGGAAAAATTTGACATCAGGATTGGAGGAAGGCTTATTAACAACCTGTGATACACAGATGACACAACCTTGCTTGCTGAAAATGAGGAGGATTTGAGCTACTTGCTGAAGATGAATGATTCCAGCTTTCAGTATGGATTATACAACTCAATATAAAGAAGACCCAAATCCTCACCACTGGATCAATGGATGACACCATGATAAATGGAGAAAAGATGGAAGTTGTCAAGGGTTTTATCTTGTTTGGACCCACAATCAATGCTTATGGACGCAGCAGTTGAGAGATTAAAAGACATATTACTTAAGGTAAATATGCTCCACAAGACCTCTTTAGAGTCTTGGAAAGCAAGACTGTTACTTTGAGGACTAAGGTGCACCTGACCCAAGCCATGGATTCTCCATTGCCTCATAAGCATGTGAAAATTGTATATTGAATAAAGAAGACTGAAGAGGAACATACATTTGAATGGTGGTTTGGGATAAGAATATATATATATTTAAAAAAAATCATTTTATTGGGGCTCGTACACTTTTATCATCATCCATCCATCCATCCATCCACCCATCCATCCATTGTATCAAGCACATTTGTACATTTTTTACCATCATCATTTTCAAAACACTTTCTTCTTGAGCCATTGGTGTCAGCTTCTCATTTTTTCCCACATTTCCTCCCTTAAGAACACTTGATAATTTATAAATTATTATTATTTTTTCATGTCTTATACTGACCGATGTCACCCTTCATGCACTTTTCTGTTGCCCATTTGCCTGTGAGGGAGTTATAGGTAGATCATTGTGATTGGTTCCCCCTATCTCACCCCCACGTCTTCCCTATCCCCTCCTGGTATGGCTACTCTTAATATTGGTCCCGAGGGGTTATCTGTCTTGGATTCCCTGTGTTTCCAGATTTTATCTGTACCTGTGTACATGCTCTGGTTTAATCAGATTTGTAAGGTATGATTGAAGTCATGATAGTGGAGGTGGGGGTTGAGGAGGGGAGCAGGAAGCATTAAAGAACTAGAGGAAAGTTGTATGTTTCATCGGTGCTATACTGCACCCTGACTGACTCGTCTCCTCTCTGCGACCCTTCTGTAAAGGGATGTCCAGTTGCCTACAGATGGACTTTGGGTCTCCACTCCGCATTCCCCCTCATTCACAATGATATGATTTTTTTTGCCTGATACCTGATCCTAGCGACACTTGTGATCATGCAGGCTGGCGTACTTCTTCCATGTGGGCTTTGTTGCTTCTCAACTAGATGGCCGCTTGCTTACCTTCAAGCCTTTAAGATACCAGATGCTTTATCTTTTGATAGCCGGGCACCATTAGCTTTCTTCACCACATTTACTTATGTACCCATTTATCTTCCGCAATCGTGTTGGGAAGGTGAGCATCATGGAATGCCAGGTTAATAGAACAAAGTGTTCTTGCATTAAGGGAGTACTTGAGTAGAGGCCCAATGTCCACCTGCTATCTTAATACTAAACCTATAAATATATGTACCTAGATCTATTTCCTCCTCATCATATACAAATATATTTACATATGTACATGCTTGTATTTAGACCTCTATAAATGTCCTTTCCCTCCCAGTACTTTCCTCTATTTCCTTTTACTTTCCTCTTGTCTCACTATCATGTTTAGCCTTCGTTTCGATTTTAGTAATTCCTCTCAGTTATATTGCCCTCCATCAAACCCTACCAGGCCTCCTACACCCTCTTGCCATCGATTTTGGATCACTTGTTGTTCCCTTGTCCCTGGGTTTGTTAATATCCACTTCCTTTGCTCTGCCTCATCCTCTCCCATGTCCTCCCGGAACCATCAGTCCCGTTGTTTTCTCCACTGGAGAAGAATATTCAAAATACCATGGATTGCTAAAAGGACAAACAAATCTGTCTTGGAAGAAATAAGGCCAGAGTGTTCCTTAGAGGCAAGGATGGCAAGGCTTCATCTGACATAGTTTGAAGATATTCTCAGGAGAGACAAGTCCCTGGAGAAGGACATCATGCTTATTAAAGTAGAGGGCCAGTGAAAGAGAAGAAGACTCTCATGGAGATGGACTGACACAGTGTCTGCAATAGTGGGCTTAAGCAGAGGAATAATTATGAGGATGGCGCAGGACTTCTCAGTGTTTCCTTTTATTGTACATAGAGACATTATGGGTTGGAACCCAACAGCAGCCTTGGTTGTATATGATAGGAGCCAATTTGTGCTATATTTAGTGTGTTACATCTTCAGAGAGAGATATTAGTTTATAGATTTGCCCATTGTAAGATGTCATTTAATTTTCATCTGATGTGTCATTTCGAGATTAAGAGGTTGTGTGCAACAATCTTAATATTGCTTTTGAGAGATTAAGGAGTTGTTTATAAAATTAGAAAATTTAAAGTAATTTTTTGATGACAAAGTCATGGATTCTAACAGTTTATAAACTGCTAAGGACTTAAAGATTTTCTGGCTAGAGAGCATCCAAGAAGTATGTTTATGTGTTTCTATTTCTGATTTCATATTGTGGGTAAGTTGTACATATGCAATGTGAAAGCATAACAGTCACAACAGTCTTGAAAGCATACTTAATAACAGCAATCTTATTTGAAACATAATCTTGTATAGTGTGTGTGTGCGTGCATGTGCATGTGTTTGTCAGACAAAAAAACAAAGCAAAATGCATTCGTAACAGTCACTCAAACATAATAAATCAATTTGAATTTAAAGTAAAATTAAGTAAGACTTATTCCTTGATTACTCTCTGACTCTAATTACATGTAATGGGTAGTTTAGAAAATTTTAAATCTAAAACTATATTCTGTAATTTATATGTATATACAAATAAATATATGTATGTATATATGTATCTCTATGCTCTTTGTATTATTTCAGAATGAAGACATTGAAACAGATATTAATAAACTAAAACCCCAGCAAGAACCAGGACGAGCTCTAGAAGAACTAAAAATGTATGAACACCTTTTCCCTGAGCTTGTTGATGATTTTCAGGTATAAACATAGAGAAAATTAAGCAATTTATTTGATTTTAATAAAGAGGTCTTATTTTTTTTCTTTCTTAGACCTATAATCATGGCTTTCATTCCTAAAAGGGAAAAATAGCATTGTTTTTCTGAGTGAACTTTGACAATAATTTAAGTCTCTAGAGCTGCATATTGCTTATCTTACCTCAAATCATAGAGGTTGGACTAGTTTAAAATTTTTTTCTATCTTTTCACCATCATTTTTAACTGATATCTTTATTTATTCTTAGATATTTTAAGTTGTCATTTTAAAGTCATCCATTTATCTTTTTTCTTTTATGTTTTTAGTAGTTTCATTGATATATCATTCACACATCATACACTTTAATAATTCAGACACATCAAAAAGGGTTGTACAGTCATCACCACAATCAGTTTTGGAACAGTTTCTTCTTTCTTGTACTCATTGCTACTTACTCCCCATTTCCCCCAACTTCTCTATCATAACCCCAAGGCATTAAGCCACTCATCCAGTTACTGTCTTTATAGATTTTTTTGTTTGTTTTGTTTTTTATTTTAATAAATAATTTTATCGGGGGCCCTTAGCTCTTATAACAATCGATACATCAGTTTTTGGAGTCTTTGTATCAATTATGTATACTAAGATGGCGATTAAATGCTGAATAAAAAATAGAATCCTATGTATATTGAACCTATCCTTTCCTCCTTTTAAAGTTTGTTATATAACCACTGGGGAGGAGGAAAGAACATCGTAGAAATTGAAATATTTTTCATTAACAGAGAGTGACTTACTAACACTTATTATCCTCCCTCATGGGAATATATTGTCTCAGTTATCTAGCAGAACTATAACAGATATACCATAAGTATGGATTAACAAATAGTATGGCTTTAACAAATAGAAATTTGTTTTCTTACAGTTTAGAAGGGTAGACGTCCAAATTCAAGTTATTAGCTCTGGAGTAGTTTTCGACAAAGTGGTTGATACCACTCCTGTTACTGGAATGTTCCAGGGGGACTGTAAAAGTAGGCACCTACACTTTATTCTTGGTTGTGAGCTGTAGTACAAAAGTTTTTAATTGCCAGGGGGTTCATGAGTATTTTCCCCCCCTGAAAGGTGGACAGTGGGAATAGGGGTTGGGTTGTGTGTGGGCCAAACATGTTTGCTCACCTGGTTGTCCTGTATATTTTCAGGCTCAAAATTGAGCCACAGGGATAAGTTCAGTTCCAGGCCTGAGGGGTGAATCAAGGCCATGCATTGTGTTGGGGGTTCTACTAGTCACTATCGGACTAGTACATTGATCATTTTATGGTTTTGACTTTAGTTTCATATATTTCTTCCATTGTATCCTGGAGCATCTAAGGTGATCCCTTTCAGTGTGATTGGTAGTGCTAGCTGGGTATATCTGGTTCTTTTGGTCTCTGGGTTGTAGAGTTTGGGTTTTATGAGGTCCTTTAGTCCTCTGGACTGATTGTTTTCACGTGTCTTTGATTTTTTTCACTCTTCGTTGTCTGGACAACGAGGGACCCATAGTTGCACTTCAGTTGGCCACTCACAAGACCATGATATCCACTCACTAGAGTAGTATGCAGAAGATTGTCTTTGTGGAGTGTGCTGTGAAAGTTAATATTGATGTCTACGGTGCTGTGTCCTTAGGTTTAATGACTTATTTACTAAAGGGGTTGGTTGTGACTAAGATATACACAGCAAAACATACCTTAGTCCAACAGTTTCTGCATACTTGATTTAGTGACATTTACACTATTCTGTGTTTTATGTAATCATTCTAACCCTAAAGGTTCCTATCTTATCATCTGAGTTGCTCTTGTCAATTTGATCCTATACATGTAGTTCTTAAAAGAGAATAATGCTCATGACAGACCTTGTGTACTATGGAGCTAAACAGTTATATGACTTTAAGAATATTTTGAGGATACTTTTGGTTGAAGGTTTTAAGATTCTGTGGGATGTTTGATCATTAATGAATAGTTGGTGATGCCATCCAGCTGTTCTGGTCTCATGGCGAAAGACGCACTTGTTCGTTTGAGGCAATTGCCATACATTTGTCATGTGTTTCCTTTTACTGACTCTTCCTTTGCTCCAGATGGATAGAGCTCACTTGTGCCTTGGATGTCCAGTTGGAGCTTTTAAGGCTCCAAGCACTCGTCAAAATATGAAGATAACTTTAGAAAATTTACTTTGGTTTTTCAGAAGAAAATGACTCCAAGTTAAAAGTTATTAGAGTGGATTATATGTTGGGTTCCTACCCCCATGGCAGCAGTTCGGAACCAGTCATTAGGCAAGGAATGAGGAAGCAGAAAAGAAGAACCAAATGTATTGTATTAGGCTCGTGAACTGTGATGTCCCATAAAGCCATGCCTTTAAACTTGCAAACAGAAGATCTAAATCCTATGAGGTGTTTGGGTGTACCTAAGCAGCCTCAGCAGCTACTTTTTTCTTGGTCACTATTAATATCTATTACACAACGTTTGTCTTATTCAACTTTTTACACTTGTAAATAATGTTGTAATGAACATTGGTGTACAAATCTCTTCTTTCATTTTTTTTGTGGGGTTATATACCTGTTAGTGGAATTGATGTGCTGTTTGATAATTGCATTTTTAGGGTAATTTTTTAATTAAAACAATTTTTTAATAGGTACCGCCACACTGTTTTCCACAGCATCTGCACCATTTGTATTTCTACCAACACTGGATAAGGATTTCAGTTTCTCCATATTTTCTCTAACATTTGTTATTTTCTGCTTTGTAGTCTATGGTTTTCATTCTAGAAGTCCTTCGCATCTCTGATGAGACTTACTTCTAGCTATTTTGTTCTTGTAGGTGTTATTGTAAATGGAATTGTTTTCCTAAGCACCCATGGAGTTTTTTCACTGTTGGTGTATAAAAATCCAACTGATTATTGTTTGTTGACCCTTGTACCCTGTGGCTTTGCTAAATTTCTCTGTGAGTGCTACAGGTTTTCTCCTGGATTTGGGGGCTTTTCTATATGAGGGTCCTTCAAAAAGTTCAAGGAAAAATGGGAAATAAAAGGTAATGCAATTTTTCCAAGAACTTTTTGAAGTCCCTACGTAAAGACATAGGGCAGGGTAGAACTGCCCCTGTGAATTTCTGATACTGTAATTCTTAGTGGGAATAGAAAGCCATGTATTTCTCTCAAGGAGCAGGCTGATGGTTTCAGACTGCTAACCTTGGGGACCACAGCTAATGCGTAACCATTATGCCAGCAAGGCTCCTTATGAGTCCGCATCAATGCCGTGACAGTGTAGAATCTTATCAACTGCAGTAAAGATAATTTTACCTTTTCGTTTCCAATATGGGTACATTTTATTTATTTTATTGTCTTACTGCTTTGGCTAGGACTTTTAGTGAAACATTGAGTGGAAGTGATGTCGAAAGACACCCTTGTTCAGTCTTTCTCCATTAAGTATAATGTTGGTCATTACCTTTTCCTATCATGCTGTTTTAAACTATGATTGCTTATTCGTAGTGAAAATTGTTTTTAGTTTCATTACTCTTTTTTTTTTCCATGTTAGAATTTTGGTAGTGCAAAAATTCTATATTTTAATAGGTCTTTTAATAAGTATCTGGTTGTATATGACATTTTTTATATGAGCTTTTATATGAGTTTTTCTTTTTTCCCTTTTTAAATTTGGTTTAAAGTTTTAATGAAATAATATATTCACAAACTTTAAAGAATCAAATGATTTTACATAATTTAATCAGGACAAATAGTAGCCCCTCTCCCACCAGCGATTCACTTTTAGAATGATTTTGAAATTAACTCACATTTATAAATACAAGTTTCATGTCTTGATTTTTCATGCTTTTTCTTTATTTTGCATTGTTGTCTCAAGATTGGCATTCATTAATATTCTGCCAAATATTTTCTCTCTTTCCATAGATTGTCTTTTATTTTGTTTATAATGCATCTTTATTTTGGGGGTTTGATTATAACAATTATAACCTTTCCCCCCATTTCTTTGCTCACTAGTACTTTTGGTGTTATACCTAAGAATCTGTTGTCTAAATGACTATTTTCAAATTTTACCCGTATCTCTTCTTTTTGGAGTTTTATGGTCCTAGCTCATATTTACGCCACCGATCCATTTTGAATTAATTTTTGCCTGTAGTGTGAGTATGGGCCCAACTTTATTCTTTAACTTGTGGATTTGCCATCCTTACAATAATACACTTGGCCATAGGTATAAGGATTATTTCTAGACTTTAATTCTATTGCACTGGTCTGCATGACTATTCTTAGATTAGCACTGCACTGTTTTGATTACTTGAGCTTTGTAGTACGTTTTTAAATTGAGAAGTTCGTGTTCTCTTTCTTTGTTAAATTTATTCAGATTGTTTTGCCCATTTGAGACCTGTGTAATTCCCTTTGAATTTGAGGGTTTAATGATCTTAGTTTTGTTGAAACGTTTTAATACTTGCAGATAAAAGATTAAACTTATTCTTATTTTTTATTTTCAAAGGACTATGATTTAATCTCCAAAGAACCAAAGCCTTTTGTATTTGAAGGAAAAATATGTGGTCCTATTGTTGTTCCTACAGCAGGAGAGGAACCATCTGGGAATTCAGGTGATTTAAGAAAAGGCATTGTAATGAAGGAGAATGTGTCTCCTACTGGAGGTGAAGATGGTAAGAAGCCTACCTTTATGAATCTAGCAAAAGAAGATAATGACAGAATATTACAACAACAGTTGGATGATCAAGATAGGACTATCTCACCAGTCCATGGAGTAAATAATGATATTGTGAAGGCCTTGGACCGAATTACATTACAGAATATTCCATCTCAAGCATCCCTAGGTGTTACTGCAGGGGGAGTGAAGAAGGACTACCATCTTCCCCTTACCGTCCTTACGTGCACTAAAGCATGTCCACACGTGGCTACTTGTGGAAATGTTTTGTTTGAGGGAAGAACAGTTCAGCTAGGGAAGCTTTGCTGTACTGGAGTAGAAACTGAAGAGGATGAAGATACTGAGTCTAATTCATCAGTGGAACAAGCCTCCGTTGATGTAACTGATGGACCAACACTCCATGACTCAGATTTGTATGTTGAGATTGTGAAAAATACAAAGTCTGTTCCAGAATATTCAGAGGTGGCTTATCCTGATTATTTTGGTCATGTTCCACCTCCATTCAAAGAGCCTATTTTAGAAAGGCCTTACGGTGTACAAAGGTGGGTTGCAGATTTCCTCGTCCTTCTAAATAATATCAGTGTCAAAATATGAAGCAAACTTTTAGAAATTTACTTTGGTTTTTCAGAAGAAATTTACTCTTATGTTAAAAGTTATTAGAGTGGATTACATGTTGGGTTACTAACCCCATGGACAGCATTTTGAAACCAGTCACCTCATGGAAGAAAGATGAGGCTTTCTACTCCCATAAAGGTTTTTGATCCTGGAAACTCACAGGTGCAGTTCTACTGTCCTGTAGAAATGAGAGTTGGTTTTTGTGTTTTAAAAAGAGCTGTGATAGTATACAAGTAAAAATGCAAAAGGGATGGAACTCAAGGGTGCCAAAACACAGAAAACCCAGTAATTTAAGTCTGGTAACAATTTGTAATGGGAAAGACGGCTGGGTTGTAAAATACCTTCAAAGGTTAAGTGATCCATGTCATTCCTGATATTTAGAAGATTATTTTGCCGATAGAGTGAAGTCTCACTGATTTTCATAAATGTAAGAAAGATGTCTTCTAGTTTGTTGCAGGAGAAATAAGTCACAACTTATGAAGCAATCTAAAACTACCAGCTAGTGTGCATCACTATATATTTTGTGCAGTGGTGACTTTTGCTTCGTTTAGTTGGTTTGTATAACCAGCTAGTAAACTATGTATGCTATATTACAAAGAGTGTTTATCATATTTCCCATCTCCCTATCATATTTGACATACTTATCAGGGTATCACTACTTGATCTGAGACAGGAATCTAGCCATATTTCATTGAAACAGTATGGCTGTGTTATTTAAATTTATAGAGCTTTCCCCATAATGTTAATTACCTTAGGAATAATGACTGTAACAACAACAAAAAATTAAAATATTCACAAATTGTGTAGCAGACAATAATACTTTGATATTTGAAGGATATTAATTGCTTTATATACTTCCTATGTAAATATTTGTCAGATATTTATGAGGAAGTTTTGATGAGTAATCTAGCCCCAATGTGATATACCTCGAAGCCTTATCTCAAAGCTTTTCCCCCTTTTATCCATCCTTTTTTAATGGTAAAAAATTGTTCAGGATTACTTGTTTCTTTAGGTAGCATTACTTTGCAGCTGAAAGAACAAATGCATGTAGTAGAAATTGCGGGATAGTTAGATTCGACTTGTTGAGAGGGGTCATGCAGTAGGATGTGCTCTGAAAGTCAAGTCAAAATGATTAGATTCTACAATTGGTCCTCCTACTAGGTCTTTGTGTGTGTTTGAGCAAATAACCTTTCTCAAAAAACCAGTGTGTCACTTGTATTGCAACCAAGTATTGTCTCAGTTGTGTGTGTGTCTGCTTGTAAATCCAAAGCAGAAAGGATAACTAGTCATTCACTAGATCCTGGCTAGGAAAATATGGCCTGCTTGCCCACTCTGGCCAACTATTTGTGTTTAGCCAGCAAGCTGAAAATGTTTTTTTTTTTCCCCTCACAGTTTAAATCGTGGAAGAAAATTTAAAAAATTAATTTTTTTTACAAATTATTTACATTCATTTTCCAGTATCCATAAAGAGGTTTATGGGAATATATGCTTGTCCTTATATGCAGTGTTTTTGCCTGGCTTTTGTGCAACTTTGGTGGAGTTGAGTAGTAACGACAGAGACCACAGGACCTTATACAATGCTTAAAATATCATCTGGCTGTATACAGTAAAAAGAAGCCCTGGTAGTATAGTGGTTACAAGTTGGGCGGCATACTGCAGGTTCAGCAGTTTGAAACCACCAGCTGCTCTAAGGGAGAAAGATGGGGCTTTGTACTCCCATAAATAGTTACAGTCTTGGAACTGCCCTGTTCTTTAGGGTTGCTATGAGTCAGTGTCAACTGGATGATAGTGACTTTGGGTTCAGTTTTTGGTTGTGTGTGTACACATATACACCCATTCAAATTTTGGTAAATATATATGTACCCAAATATTTTGACATTTCAGTAGCCTTCACATGTACTACCAGTGATATTAATTGTGTTTATTATATAATGCAGCCTTCACCCTTTTGTTCCCAAATTATACCATCACCTTAACAGAAGCTCACTATTTCCTATGTATTGAACTCTGTGTGACTGAAAAAAAATTCTAGCTGTATTTTATAATACAGTAACATGCATTTATTCTATACATATTATAGAAGTAAGGTATTTTACAAAAAATAATTATAAAAAATCATCACGTAAGGAAATATCATTAATAGACATTTAATTAAAAAATCATTAAGTAAGGAAATACCATTAATAGACACAAAGATAGGTTCAGCTTCACTAAAAATAAGACATGCAAGCAAATTGTCAAATCCATTTTGATGAAATTCCTGTTTTGTTGTGTTGGAGAAAGAAACATTCCTTACAAAATCTGTAGCTTTTTTTGGTCTCTGCTGTTTTTAATAATGCAATTACTTTTCAGAAGACTTTTTTGGTGAATCTGTGCCATCTCTCTGTAGAAAGGTATAATAGACATTCAGGATTATTTTTTTGCTGGGGGGATGGAGGGGAGGTGGCACAGAGGGGGTTACTAATGGTTTTGTGCTTTATATTTTATTGCTACCTTTTTGAACTTATATGCTTAAAAATTTTCACTGTTGTTATGTATTGATGGGAGAAAGATCAGGTTATGAGTCAGGATGGACTCCATGGCAGTGAATTTGGAGTTTTGGGTATGTATTGATAATTTTTCTATATAAATATATAATTACAGGGATGATTATTTCTCTTCGTTTATGAAATTTTTAGCAATTACACCTTTTAATCTAAAACTTCTTTTGGAGAATGTGGTGTGTTGTCACATATAATAATGGATTTAGTTCAGAAATTGTTCAGACTTTTTGTTTATGATTTTAGGACAAAAATTGCTCAGGATATTGAGAGACTGATTCATCAGAGTGACATCATAGACCGAGTGGTATACGACTTAGATAAACCAAAGTAAGTGCGATGCAAAAACTTTTTTTTTGGTTTGTTTTCATTGTAAAATTTCAGCCTTATTTTAAAAGATAAAAATTGGAATTTACTTTCACCTGGTTTGTCCTCATTGTGCTCTCTTTCGTCTTTTCTTAGAGATGTATTGGTGAGTCTTCGTTATTTATTTTGATTATATCATAAGCTTTGGTTCTTAGGTAAATTTTTAAAATGGGTTTATGAACAAAGATCACAATTGTATACTCTGCTTCAAAAATCTTAAAATTGACTCCATTCATGTGAAAATCTAGTATGCCTTTCTGCATTGGGCCTCATTTCCTTGGGGAATTATTAATTTGTCATCTGCTTTAGAGGGGACATATGCTTGCTAATTCTTCACAGTTCCCACTTTTCCCTCTGCATCTTACTATTTATAATTTATTTAAGTTGTCTAAGTTACTTGCTGATCTTTGAAGCAGTTGTCACCTCTGCTTTACATGTTTGTGTCTTTCACAGTGCAGGACTGGTAACGACATCGTTACATTGTAGGGTTTGAGTATAAGTAAGTAAAGGAAAGTTAGAAAGTTAAGTGCAATTATTATTCAGTCATTTGCCTCCCTCAGAGGGTTAAGTGCATTGCATTATGTATTAGGTTCCTAATGGCAAGGCCAATGGCTCACACACACCAACAGTAGAAAGATGGAGCCATTCTGCTCCTGTAAAGATTTGCAGTAGAGAGCTGTACTCCGCCCTACAGGGCCACCATGAGTTGCAGTGGACTCGATGGTAGATTGTTTGGTTCCCTCCTAGGAGAAATTCTGTTAGCCCTCAACTGATTTCCCTTCACAAACATTTAAAATTTTAAGGTAACGTCAAATTTTGCTGATCTTACTTAGAGAGGAAATGAACGACTTTTTTAAGGTTCTTGTTAGATAAACGTATACAGGCCTTTCAAAGCTAGTGACTTCATCTGAAATAATATTTTTTAAAATGAAAGAAACATCTAGCTTATTTATAAATCTCTTAGTCATTTCACAGTTTATAATTCCATGTCTGGTAGATCCAGGCAGATGCAGCTAAAAACAGAAATGCAAGCATCTCAATACTGTGCTGCTTGTAATTAAACGGCTTTGGATAGACTGGTTTACTCTTGTGGAGTCCTAGTTCCCCTCTATTACAATGTACTGTCCAGAGGAGCACAGCTATTTGTGATAAATCAGACATCCAAAGAGACTAACTAGAATAGTGACTGCCACTTGTTAGGCTCTTAGTAAATGTTACTGAAGTTATGAATATATCAAAGGCTAACAATAGTACTTGTTTGTTTTTGGTGCTAATTAAATAATAGTTCATCAAGCTCTCTACATTGAAAAGAGATTTTTAACTGAGATTTGTATAGTTTACTGAATTTTTACTACTCATGGCGGGTCATATGGATTTTTAAAAAATGAGTCTTTTTCACATGATAATGGGTATTTAAAAAATAATATTCTCTCAGCTATGTAAAGATCATCCTCAGTATAAACTTGCGAATGACTCTAGTTATAGTTTTCTATCTACATAAATTAGCCAGAGTTTGTACTTTGCTTATGTTCTTCCTTTAAAAAAAAAAAAAAAAAGGAAGAAGGCAATATGACAGCATAGTTTTGTCTCTCACCTCTTTAAATGCAGTATATTTTGTTAAGCTTTCAAATTTTTCTTCAGTTATATCATTCCAGAAGAAGGAGATATTTTGAAGTTTAACTCCAAATTTGAATCTGGGAATCTGCGCAAAGTAATTCAAATTAGAAAGTAAGTCTGTTAAGATTTAAAAAATTTGTATGTATACGTATTTTTCTACCTTTCATTAGATTTATTATCTCTTCTCAGAAATGAATATGATCTCATTCTGAACTCGGATATAAACAGCAATCATTATCATCAGTGGTTTTACTTTGAAGTCAGTGGAATGAGACCAAGTGTGGCATACAGGTTTAACATCATTAACTGTGAAAAATCCAACAGTCAATTTAATTATGGTAAGATCATTTTCTTTTCCAATTGACAGGACTTGTAGGCGTCTCAATTATGTGACAAAAGGTTTTTGTTAAAAAAAATATATTATCAACATTTTCCTAATGTTTGAGTATTCTTTTTTCCTCACTAGCTTTCAAACTTCAGATACTTTATATGAAATATTAGAAATTGGCTGAGCCTTGATTTGTTGGTGAAAAGAATTACACTTGCAGAGGCAAACACTACTTGGTATTTGTGTTGATTTCACCCACAACAAGTGTAGTTAAAGAATTATTATGAAAGCTGCTTAGAATCAAGTTTTTAATATTAATTAATCCAGATGAAAACAAACATGAAAAACAGTCTTTTATTTTTACATATAATAATTTGGGAATAACTATAAATTCCTAGGAAGTTTAAAAATCACGATGAAATCCTATGTTCTCTTCACTAGGTCTATAATCGTATAGCTTACATAGCTCTAGAACAAGGTCCAAACCAGGAAATTGACAAAGGCATTCAATAAAAGTGTATAATTCTATGCTATTTCATCAGGTTTGTAGATTCATGTAACATGAGCACAATAAAGACAAAATGATTCCATCACCACAAAGATCTCCTTTGAGCTTTATTTTCATAGTTTGCCCTTAAGTATAATATTTTCTATAGGTTAATTTTGATAATTTTTACATTTATATCTAGTTGAAATTCACTTCTTTGCAGTTTCCTGAGAGTTTCTATAAATGAATGAGTGTTAAATTTTGTTGCATACTTTTATTTTGCATCAGTTGATATGATTGTGTCATTTTTCTTCTTTCTAATACAGTGTATTACATTGACTTTTTTTAACTTTTTATCATGAATCTGGGGGAAAGGGTTACAGAGCAGATCATTAGTTTTACATCCAGTAATTTTTACACATTTTCTGGAATCCCATTGGTATAAATGAGTTATTTCACATCTTTCTTGTGTTTCCTGTTCCTGTTCTTCCTTCTTTCCTAATCCCTCTGAACTTTGTCCTTGGGTAAGTGCTGTCATTTGATTGCAAATGGCTGATTATTCTAATGAACAGACCTCACTAGTGCTCCTGTTCCCATTGTAGACATGACTATTGTTTGGCTGAAAATTGAGCCATGGTGGTGAATTCAGTTTCAGACCTATCCGACCAGTAAAAAGAAAACCTCTTTTGTGATTTAAAATTTTTCCCTATATTTTGCTCCCACTTCATCCAGGGCCGTCTATTGTGATAGATTGGTAATGATAGCTGGGCACCATTTAGTTCTTCTGTTTCCAGGGTTCATGGAGACTGGTGTTCATGTGGTTTACATGGGCTCATTGGTTCCATGTGGCTTTGATTGTCCTCACCACTGTGTCGATCTGTTTTGTTGAGACTTCTTTTTCCCCCCTGACCTTCTACTATACTAGGCATGGTATTCTTCTCAAGAGACTGCCCTGATAATATGTCCAAACTATGTGAAGTGAAGTTTCAGCACCCTCATTTGTATGGAACATTCTGGCCGTGCTTCCACCAAAACAGATTATTTAGTTTTTCTGGTAGCTTATAGTTTTTCCAATATCCTTTGCCATCACCATAATTCAAATGCATCAGTTTCCCTTAATCATTGTCCAGCTTTCACATGTATATGAGGTGATTGAGAATACCTTGACCTGGGTTAGGTTCACCTTAGTTCTCAAAGTAACATGGTTGCTCACTAATATTTTAAAGAGGTCTTGTGGAGCAGATTTGCCCAGTGTAATACTTCATTTGATTTTTTTTTGACTGATGCTTCTATTAGCATTTATTGTGGATTGAAAACTTTAATTTCTTCGCTGTTTATCATAATGTTACCTGTTGGCTCTGTGAGGATTTTGTTTATATTGTTGTAAACATTAAAGGTTGTATTCTTTGATTTTCCTCAGTAAGTGCTTCCAAGTCCTCTTCACTTAGTTTCATCTGCATATTACAGTTTCATTGAATGTTCCTGCAACTTAGATAACCACATTTTTCTTTATTTGGCCCAGCTTCTTCTATCATTTGCCGAGCATACAGATTGACTAAGTAAGGATACAATCTTTCTGGTTGTATTAGATTAGGTTCTCTTGAGAAGCAAAATTAGTGTATAGAAAGAGATTTGTATTAAGAAATGGCTTACACAGTTGTAGAAGTATGTAAGTCAGACTGGTTCAAGTCAAGCTTCTCTTGACTTGGGTAACTGTGGCAGCTGACAATTAAGAAGCAGGATGATGAAGTAGGAGGGCCACAGGCTGGTGGATGCAGAAGTAAATGAATCTGAGATCAGCCGAATGAGTCCAAGGTTGACAGTCCACTGATGGCTTGTGAGATGGACAGGCAACACAAGAGATTAACAAACCAGATGCAGGATCCACATCCTACAGAAGGTGAAGGGGCAAAAAGAGCTTTGCTTTGCTCCGGGTTTCCTTCTTACACAAAAAGACCACACTCCCAAGGAGAGGTCATTAGGCTCAGACCTGTTTAATACGTTGTGCTCCACCCCTACCTTCACCCAAGACCGTCTATTTAACACAAACTCCAACCATCACACTGGTATTCTCAGTTTTTGAGCCAAGGCCCACCTGTTACAACAATGTTCAGGTAGGTAGGACAAAAAGAAGGTTCATCTTGCATTTTTTCAAGTAGACTTTAGGTCTTGAGACATAGTGTCATTGGATTTTTTTGAATCCGACTGATTGTGTCTTAGTAAGATTTAATAGATAATGCTTCCAAGATTTTGAAAAGAAGTTGTCTTTGTGTTTTTATTTCCATATCGCTATAAGAACTTAATGAGGAATTGGTAGAAACTATTGTTAGGTAGATGTAACATTTCTATGGAACTCTATCACTAGATGTTAGTTTTGATTAGTAGAGTTAGAAGAAGGAATGAAAGTTTATTTTAATAAACTGGAATTTAACATTCTAAGAAATTTTAACTATGTCGTTAGTATTGTGTTTGTTATACTCATTTTGAATTTGTATCAGATGGTACTATTGACTATAGAAAACACATTTTGCATTGGAAACTTCAGTTGGTAGGATTTATTTAATTTTCATATGGAAATAAAATCCAGAGAGTAGTTTATTGTCAATTAAATTTTATTTCTTATTCTTTTGATTAAGGCATGGTGGTTGGCAGATTTTTATAGTACAGGCCTTTTTTATGGTACTTTTAAAAAAATCATTTTATTGGGGGCTCATACAACTCTTATCACAATCCATACATACATCAATTGTATAAAGCACATTTGTACTTTCGTTACCCTCATTGTTTTCAAAACATTTGCTCTCCGCTTAAGCCCCTGAGTAGAGGCATTTTTCATTGGCAGCGCCTTGGGGAGTCAGGATGATAGTTGCCTTTTTTTTCCCCAGCTGTGCTTTACTTGAGATTTTTTAAGGGGGCTATATGAAATGATTCAGGAGGCATTTCAGTGTAGTGGTTACATGACAGGTTGCTCACTGCCAGGTCAGCATTTCTAAACCAACTGCTCTGAGGGAAAACGATGGGGCTTTCAACTCCCATGAAGAGTTAGTAGTGGAAGTTCACAGAGGTAGTTCTATCCTGTTCTATAGGGTGTTATGAGTTGGGATTGACACGATGGCAGTGAGTTTTGGTCTATAAAATAGTTTTCTCATAAATTGATGGCCTTGATGTTAATCAGTTAATAGTATTAAATACTATTTTTAATTATAAAGAGAATGCTGCCTTTGGAATGCTGAATTTGAAAGTTTATGTGGCTGTATTTGTTATAGGAGCCCTGGCGCCCATACTGGTTATACATAGGGCAGCTAACTGCAAGGTCAGCAGCTCAAAACCACCAACTGGAACGTGCAAAAGAGGGCTTTTGTACTGTGGTAAAGAGTTATCTCAGAAACTCACAGGGGCAGTTGTAACCAGTCCTATACAGTTTCTGTGAGTTGGCATTGACTTGATGGCACAGAGTTTGTTTTTTATATTTATTATATGCTGTAGATTTTGCTATATATAGTAATCCATCATCCCAATCTCCATAATTTGAAAGAAGTTTAAAAATTACCACTAGATGGCAGTCCTGCATCTTTAATAACTTGGAACTTTAGTAGCTCTGTCCCTCTTTCTCTCTTACTTCCCAGCTTCCTCCCTTAACTCCTCTTCCTAACCTCACTATCATCTGCATCCATTTCATCTCTCTTGCTTTATCCCATTCCTTCACCCCTCCTTCCCACTCTTCCCTTTCTCTCTTTCCCTCCCTCTGTACCTGAGAAATGAAGATTTTTAATTATATATATATATAAATAAAATCATTTTATTGGGGGCTCATACAACTCTTATCACGATCCATACATCCATCCATTGTATGTCATGCACATTTGTACATTTGTTGCCCTAATCCTCAAAACATTTGCTTTCTACTTAAGCCCTTGGTATCAGCTCCTCATTTTTTCTCCTCCCTCTCCGCTCCCCCCTCCCTCATGAACCCTTGATAATTTATGAATTATTATTTTGTCATATCTGCACTGTCTGATGTCTCCCTTCACCTACTCCCTGTTATCTGTCCCCCAAGGAGGAGGCTATATGTAGATCCTTATAATTGGTTTCCCCTTTCTACCCCACCTTTCCTCCACCCTCCTGTATTGCCATTCTCACCACTGGTCCTGAATGGATCATCTGTCCTGGTTCCCTGTGTTTCCGGTTCCTATCTGTACCAGTGTACATCCTCTGGTCCAGCCGGATTTGTAAGGTAGAATTGGCATCATGATAGTGGGAGGTTAACTATGTTTTTTTAATATAAATTGAGCATAATTTTGGGACCAGGCAACAAAGTAGAAATTGTGATCTAGCCATTCGCATTCCACATTAGCTAATTCTGTGCCTCAGATTTAAGGAAAATCGCTCAGTTTCCAGAGTAGCTTAGTCCCTCTGGTAAAAATGTACCTTATATTTGTTCTTCCACTTTATAATTTTATCTCTATGTGGCTTGATTGATATCTTTTTATGTACCCCTCTTCCCCTACCCCCTATCACTGCTT